GATGGTCATCCCAGTCATGAGCACGAGTAGGGATGTGTATGGGTGTTGAGGGCCAGCCGACCCTCTAAGGCTCATCCCATGTAATCCCTCAGCCACGTTTAGTGGTCCTTCATGCTGGGAGCACCCTGGATAGGCGCTGTCTGCTTACTCACGGCAGCGCATCGATGAACCATTTTCTGAGGACTTGGTCTCTTGTTTTTGTATTTTCAAAGCTGTGTGTGCAGTACGTGCTCAGTAAATGTTGATGGAAACTGAGGCAACTGCTTGCGAAGGTTGTGGGTCAGTACTCCCTTTTTCCTTTCGCTGCGAGCAGGTGGCGCTTTGCGGAGTTTCAGTACCTGCAGCCGGGTCCCCCGAGGCGGCTCCAGACTGTGGTGGTGTACCTGCCTGACGTCTGGACCATCATGCCTACTTTGGAAGAGTGGGAGGCCCTGTGCCAGCAGAAAGCTGCAGAGGCAGCTGCCCCACCCCAAGAGGTGTCCGGGGTAAGGCTGAGCCCTACGGACCAGTGGGCAGAGTAGGTGCCCTGACGTCCGGACCCAGGCGGTCACAGCTCTCGGCTTTTGTCACAGGACACAGAGCCTCTGGAGCAGGCAGCTGATGCATCAGAGCCAGTAGCCGACACCTCTAAACAGAATGCAGAGAATCCGGAGGCCACCGTGCAGCAGGAAGTGGACACCGATCTCCCAGAGGCGCCCCCACCTCCTCTAGAACCTGCCGTCATGGCACGCCCTGGCTGTGTCAACCTGTCCCTTCATAGTATTGTGGAGGACCGGAGGCCAAAAGAAAGGATCTCCTTTGAAGTAGGTGTAGGAGTCTGGGGAGGCTGTGTGGGAGGGCGTATGAGATGGCAGGGCTTGGAACATTCCCTTCTTCCTGATGCTCACGGACCTGTGCTGCCTCTTCCCTAAGGTGATGGTGTTGGCTGAGCTGTTTCTGGAGATGCTGCAGAGGGATTTTGGGTATAGGATTTATAAGATGCTGCTGAGCCTTCCTGAAAAGGTGGTGGCCCCGCCTGAACCTGAGAAGGAGGAGGCGGCCAAAGAAGAAGAAACAGTCAAGGAAGAGGCTGCCAAGGAGGCCAAGGATGAGGTACAGAGTGAGGGCGCAGCTGCCGAGTCAGACGCCCCCCCGGTGAGTACCTCTGCTGCCCGCGAGGGCGCGGGGGCTGCACGTGGGAGTGCCGTGTGGATGCGGCTGCCGCCGGGGGCCCCGTGGGGCTCCTCCCACTGCCTGCGTGCACCTTGTCCCCCCCCACCGCATGGCCGCTTGGCTAGGAGCCGGTGTGCGGCTAGAGGTGTGCCCCACTAGAAGGGCAGTGGGGCTGGAAGCGGGGCCGACATGCCACGGTAGCACAGAAGCCTCCACTGATTGTGCCGTGAGGACAGGTGTTTTGGCTACTCGATGGTTACTTGGAATGCTGCATTTTCTTTTTAAAGGTTTTATTTATTTGTCAGAGAGAGAGAGCACAAGCAGGGGGAGCGGCAGGCAGGGGGAGAAGCAGGCTTCCTACTTCCTCCTGAGCAGGGAGCCCAAATTCGGGACTCAATCCCGGGACCCTGGGATCATGACCTGAACCAAAGGCAGATGCTTAACAACTGAGCCACCCAGGCGTCCCATAGAACGCTGCATTTTCTTAACGCTTTACAAAAGCAGATGGGTCTATCTCTTGCCTAGATCCTGTCGAGTAGATTTAATTTCTGACAGGACTGAGATTGAGTCCTACAGAGAATCCCAGGTTCCTGGGAATTGCCTTAGTTCGCTCTGAATCCCTTGTCACAGAATGCCGTAAACGACACCGTGTAGACAGAACCCTTCCGGACACAGTCGGTGGGCAAGTGTCAGCTCTTATCCTTGTTAGCAGTTCCAAGTGACCGTTCTCATCTCTTGTTTTGCTTCCAGAAGGAAGATGGGCTTTTGCCCAAACCTCCGTCTTCTGGGGGAGAGGAAGAAGAGAAACCCCGGGGTGAGGCATCCGAGGACCTCTGTGAGATGGCCCTCGACCCAGAGCTGCTGCTCCTGAGGGATGACGGTGAAGAGGAGTTTGGTATGTGCTCGCCTTGTGCAGCCGCCGCCCGGCTTTGCAGCTGGTGCTCGCTTGTCCCAGCTGTGTGTCTGGGCCCAAGGGTGAGGGTGGGGGGGGCCCCTGCTCCATGCTTATCTCAGGCTTCCTGTAGCAGGAGCCAAGCTGGAGGATTCGGAGGTCCGGTCAGTTGCCTCGAACCAATCAGAGATGGAGTTCTCTTCTCTTCAGGACATGGTGAGACCTCTTTCCTGCTCCCCCTGGCCCACTGACACACAGTGAAGCTAAGCAAGGCCTGGGACTCAGTGCTGGGAGAGGGAGACTTTACCGTAGGACTTCTGGCACCCTCTGACTGACAAAAGACGAAATGTGGTTCTTGGCTCGTGAAGCAGGGCTTCCATGGGATCCAGGACACCTCCGTGTCTCCGCCCGGGTGCGTCTGAGTGAGGTACCCGATGCCGGTGCACACGCCGCTCCTCCGTGTGCGGGACAACCCCTGGTGCGGCAGAGGTTGCACAGAGGTCATACTGGTGGTCCTGTCTCCAGCTGGAAGGGGCGCCCGTTTGTGATCGTGTCCGCTCGATTTTCGGAGGGCTACGTCCTGGGCGATTTCGCCGTTTTGAGGGTGCTCTGAAAATCTTGTTCGTCCTTGTCTCTTTTGCAGCCCAAGGAGCTGGACCCCTCTGCTGTGCTCCCTTTGGACTGTCTTCTTGCTTTTGTCTTCTTTGATGCCAACTGGTGTGGCTACTTGCACCGGCGAGACTTGGAGAGGATCCTGCTCACCCTTGGGCTCCGGCTCAGTGCAGAGCAGGTACCCGCCCCTCCCATCCCCCAAGTCCCTCTGAGCCAGCCTCCCCGACAGCCGGGCGCGTTCTGGCCTGCTGCAGGGGGCTCGGGGTGCCGTGGGGCCACGGGCTTGTGTGCTCTCGTCAGGGGCTATCTTGGCTGTGGGTGTTCTCTAGGCCAAACAGCTGGTCAGCAGGGTGGTGACCCAGAACGTCTGCCAGTACCGGAGCCTTCAGTACAGCCGGCAGGAGGGTCCAGACGGCGGGCTGCCCGAGGAGGTGCTCTTGGGTGCGTCCTGCTGCCCTGCGCCTTCCAGGGAGGAGGGGCGGGGCTGGCTGCTCTCTCCTCTGCAGAGCCGAGCCTTCACTCTTCTCGTGGCCCCTTCTAGGAAACTTGGACCTGCTGCCTCCTTCGGGGAAAAGCACGAAGCCGGGTGCCACCCCCACGGAACACAAAGGCCTGGTGTCCCACAACGGCAGCCTGATCAATGTGGGGAACCTGCTGCAGCGTGCAGAGCAGCAGGACAGCGGGCGGCTCTATCTGGAGAACAAGATTCACACACTGGAACTGAAGCTGGGTGAGTGGCCTGCGGCCACAGGGCCCAGCCCGGAGGGGATTCGCAGATGCACGTGTCTGGAGACCAGGAGGGGTCCCACTGCTCACACTTCGGGCCTCTTGCCCTGGGCTTGGTGCTTAACTTAGCAGCAGTCTGTCTGCCATTTCCCCCCACCAGAGGAGAGCCATAACCGGTTCTCGGCCACGGAGGTCACGAACAAGACACTGGCGGCGGAAATGCAGGAGCTGCGGGGCCGGCTGGCCGAGGCTGAGGAGACGGCCCGGATGGCTGAGCGCCAGAAGAACCAGCTGCAGCGACTGCTCCAGGAGTTCCGGAGGCGCCTGACCCCGCTGCAGCTGGAGATGCAGCGGATGGTTGAGAAGGTGAGCCTCCCCCGGGAGAGCTGGATGGCCGGGTGCCCTGTTGGGAGGCTCGGCTGTGGGGGCAGCTGGCCACGGTGTCCCGCCCGGGTGCGTTGCTGCTGCAGCCTGGTCTCTGCGCGGAGTGTTGGTGGGGCTCCCGTCTGGGCCCTTCCTCCTCGAGTCCTCTCTCGTTCCAGGCGGACAGCTGGGTAGAGAAGGAGGAGCCAGCACCTAGCAACTGAGGGGCCTGGCGCAGGAGCTGCCCTCCCGGGAGGTCGGCGACGGAGCCTGCTGACGTTAGAGCCCTTTTGGTTCCAGAAAGAAGCTGGAGCAGGACCTGGGAGCCATAGGCAGGGGTGGCTGACCCCTGTGCTCAGCCTCCGTAGAGGAGCTCAGGCCATCAGGGTGGGGTCTGTGCTATGTGGGAAGGATGCGTGGGGAACCCCGGTTCCACTTAACAACTAAATCCAACACCTTCTGCACCCCTCGAATGTCATTTTGCCCTCCACCTTGGGATTTCTCCTGGGGCCCTTTAGTCTTGTGCTTTCTCCTGTCCTCTTCCAGTTTAGAATAAGACAGGGGAGGGAAAGGCTTTTCAGATATGTCGTTAAGGTCTGATGCCAATAAACTGAAGAAACAGCCATGGAATCTGGCCGGGGTTGAGCCCTCCCTCTGGATGGCACAGGTCCTGCTAGGTGCAGGAGCGGGTTCTTGGGGGAAGGGTCTCCCCTTGGCTGTCGCAGGAATGGAGTCCGTGCTAGCGAACTCTTGGTGTCGGGCTGTGTCTGCCAGAGAGCACTGTGTTCCGGCTGCCCCAGACTTGCCAGAAGAAACCAGCACCTCCCCATGTTCAGAATGTGGTATTGGCTCTGGCCCAGCCTTTTTCCCTGTTCCCCCCATAAGTCTTGCCTCTTTCCATAATCCGTGGTTTCAGTTTGACTTTGTATATAAAGTTGGTTTTTTTTTTTTTTTGGCTTTTTGTTTTTTAAATAAACCAAAGTCAAAAACAAGCCACGTGTCCTCCATAGCTCTTACCTTTTTCCTCTTCTAGGTGGTCCTGTGCTGCCCCCTCTCTCCCAGCCCTCGTTCCAGATGGTGGGGCGGGGCAATGGGAAGGGCTGCCCCGCACCCCCGCCCCACACCCCCTCCCCGCCCCCCAACCAGAGCACCCCACCGCCTGCTGGTGGAGAGAGGCAATGTGGCAGGGGTGCGGCCCGCTCGACAGGGCAGCACAAGCCTGACAAACCCCGGGCGGCTCTCAGTCACAGCACAGTAACAGCTGGCGATTTTATTGAAAACTTCACTTGAAAAAATAAAATTACAAGTATTTCAGGGAGACAAACCCACTGTTCTGGCTCTGAGATCTGTGAGTCAGGCTGTGACATTTTGTGCGGTCGGTAGCCGATTGACACAAGCTGAGTTGTGTTTCCTAAGGAATCTACAAGGCTTGGGGCGCTTCTCTGCACTTGGCCTAAGGCCTGCTCTGCACTTGGACAGAGGCGGGCTAAGCCAGTTTTTGTGGTGCTGGGAGGCTGGAGTGAGGGGTCTGTCTGGGCTGGGGGAATTGCAGCTCTTCCGTTCCCCATGGCAGTGTCTCGGGCCTCTTCAGGAAAGAGGAGTCTGAAGCGGAAAGGCAGTGAGGGCAGGCGGACGCCCCAGGATGGATCTTTGGAGGTAGATGTGATCCCGCCCGTGCAAGCAAGGCTAAGACCTCAGGTGAGCAGACAGAGCCTGTGCCTTTGAAGGCCGGAAGCTGGCTCAGGCCCTAAGCCGGGATGCCCTCTGGACGGTTCTTTTGGAAATGAGAAGGCCCCCGGGCTTTCTCTGCCCTGCTTACCGTCTGGGCTCTTGCTATGGGTGGGGCGCCGGCAGCCTGCTTGGGGCTCCGGGTGCCAGGCTCACTGCAGAGGGCCAGTGAGGTAGAGTGGGGGCCACTGCTGTCCCTGTATGTCTCTCGGTGGGGCCTTCTGCTGGCTGACGCCTGAGCCTAAGCTTGACAAGGGCAAAGACCAGACAGGTTGAGTTGTGTCCCAAGAGTCTTCAAAAGGGTGGCAGGGACTCAGTCATCAGCCACAATGGAGAGGGCTCTGAGCTCGCTCAGTCTGGCTTCGTTCTCTCTCTCCCGCTGCTCATCAGGGTGGCCGGGCTGGTCAAGCTGCTGGGTCAGGTCTCCGAAGATCTTCTGCATTTCAGAGTAGTACCCAACCTGTGGAGGACGAGGTTGGCAGGTGCTGGGCTCCTGGGGTACCAGGACCCACGGCCTTGCACCCCACTAGGCACCGTAGGACAGGAGGGGCCAGAGAACATTCCAGAGGCCCGCATGCTGCTGTTTCCTCAAGCAGAGCACCCAGGCTGAGTGAAGGGGGCTAGTTTCCACTTCTCCCTCCGTCCCTGCCCTCAGCCTGTCTCCTGAAACTGCTCGGCCAGCAGGGAGACTGAAGCTGTCGCCCCCAGCCCCTCTGGGACACCCACTGCTGCGGCCAGGATGTTAGTAGTAAGTCAAAGGAGGTGGGAAGCAGCAGGTCCTTGGTGAGGTGAAGGAGGGGGCTCTGCCTCCAAGCCCTCCAGGCAGCTGAGGGGCGGGTGCCGTGCAGGGAGGTGGAGGAGGCCCAAGGCCGGGGTGGGGACATTAGCCCCTAGGACACCTAGGCAGGTCCTGGGAAAGCCAGGGAGGCAGGCACTGACTAGAGGCTGCTTTAGCGGAGCTAGAAGCCGGACACCTTCATCCGGAGGAGGAGGGGCGTGGCAGGCCCCCAGAGCCCCGGGAGTCCATCTGAGAAGGAAAGGTGAGGAAGGGGACACTTCCTAGCCATCTGTTACTTCCTGAGCTGTCCCGTTGTCGACGGGTGGCACCACGTACTCAGCGTTGCCTCGGCTGTGTGGCTTGGAAGGCAGGGCTCAGAGCCCAGCGCGTTGGCCTGTGCCTGCATGTGCGGCATCAGGGCTGACAGGAGAGCCGCATGGAAGAGGGGTGCGGGTGAGCTGAGGCATGGGGGCGACCCACCAGCAGGTCATAGCCGGCTGCCAGCTGCTCAGACCCAGCGCCTTTTCCAGGGGCCACTTCTGCCTCAGTCTCTACCTCATGATCAAAGGCAAACACCTACTTTAATGAAAGCGATTCATGCTCTTCAAAACGCTACTTGGACATCCCTAAGTCATGTCACCTCCAGCTCCAAGCTGTCTCTGAGGAGAGCCCAGAGTGCTAGTACCGCAAGGCAAGGCCGAGCAACAAGTTCGGGGACAGGGTCGTGGTTCAGGTGCTGCTGAGGGAGTGTCTCCCACACTCCCACAGTTGGATGTCCACTGCGTGGAGGGGGGAGCTAAATGAAGGTGTGCCCATGGGCCGGTCACCTGAGTGGCCAGGGGCTTGAACTCATGCTGGGGGAGGGTGGGGGCTGGCCTGCCCTGCCCCCCACTCCCTGCCCCAGAGCCGCACTGCGCAGGCTGAGTCACTGGGAATGCTCACTTCTCTAGTGACTAATGGCAGCAACAGCCTCGGGAGGGGGAGGCTGGTGCCGAGAAGGCAGTAAACAGCCCCCAGCCACCCCGCTGCCTGGTTACAGGGCTGCCCTTGCCCCTCTGGGCACCCTGGAGCCTCCTACTGTGAACAGAATGGAGGGGGCAGGCAGCACGTGCCGGGGTGGGGGTGGGGAGCAGGGGGGGTAGTGGCGCAGGACGGGGAAGGCAGGGGTCTCCTTAAACACATTCCTCCACGGGGCGGGGCTGAACTGCTGGAAGGAAGCCCTTACCTCTAGGGGCAACGCTCTGGGGGCGGGCGCGGAACCCCCCACTTGTGTAAGTTCATGTTCTGCCTCATTTCTCCCTAGCGACCCAGAACATTGTCACTAACAAGGCCCAGCTCCACCATCAACCCTGCTTAGGGTTCCTGAGCCCAGGTGGGCAGCCCCATGTGTTTGGGTAGCGTCGGAAGACGGTAAGCTGGGGAAGCGGAATCCGTCTTCGGGCACCAGGGCCTGTTGACTGCAAGGAACGAATGTGTCCACTGGAGGGCGCCAGACGCCCAGGCCAAGAGCAGAAGTGGCCTGGAAGTGGCTGAGCCTTGAGCTTTGCTAGTGACGGGGAACTGAGGGAAAAGCGGCCGCATGCTGAGCACCTGCCGCTGATTGGGGGGTCCCACCTGGCGCAGACCTCTTGTCTTTGGCACCTTGACATTTTCTCTTACAAATGGGGAGAAAAATCCATGCTAATGGCTTGAATGGCAGGTGAGGAGGACAGGAGCTCTGTGCTACATTCTGTGTCCTTATACACGACGAGTGGGAGACAAGGTCTTAGCCTGCGTCCAGTCCTCTAGCAGCCCGACCAGGGTGCTATTCCCACGCCATCACGCTCACCCAGCCTGGGGCCAGTTTGCCGTTCTGGAAGGTGCACCATGGACGGGTGCCCAGGCAGGGGCCTGGAGCACGGCCCTCCCCAGAGTTCAGACACCCCTCCAGGGGCAGCTAGACGTCAGGCCACCCTGCAGTACCTGCCTAAAGAAGGGGAGTAACGAGTGGGGAAGTGTGGACACGGGGTGCTGAGCAAGGTGCCTTCCCCCCGTAGGCCTCTGTGCCTGGCTGAGCACGCCATGCCGAGAACCTGCCTGCCAAAGTGGGGGCACTGACAGTGCGCCCTGCTTTCTCCGGGGGACAGGAGGGAGAGGACGCAGGGGAAAAGCTGTTCAACAAAAAGGAAACTCATCCAGGGCTGGGACGAACCAGAGAGCAATGGAGGAGCCAAGACAGGAAGTAGAGCAAACACTGGCAGTCGGGGTCCCCGGAGGCCGTGCCTGGGGCAGGGTGGCAGCGCCACCGTCTTGGCAGAGAGGAGAGAGGCCGAGCACCCTTCCAGCTGCAGGTGGTGGCCCGGGAGGTGCTACAAAGCCCGGCACTGGCTCCCTGCGGAGCAAGAGTCCCATAGCGTCCTCACCTGGGCTCGGATCAGGGCCTCAAAGCTGGGCTGGAAGTAGTCGAGCCGGCTGTGGTAGAACCGCGGCATCTCATCCAGGAGCTGCTTGTTCTTGGCCTCAAAGTCGTCCCGCACAGGCCGCAGCTCTTCTCGGGCCTGGAAAGCAAGACGTCAGGGTCAGGGCTCCTGGTGGCTGACCTGGCGTCCATGCTGGGGGCACGATGTGTGTGCTGGGGGTGGGTGGGTGGGGGACAGTGGAACATCTGTGCCTTGCTCCCACAGCCCCGGAGTCGGTCCCTAGGTAAAGGAGGCCTGGCTGCGGGGTCCCGCAGGGCTTGCTGTCCATATCCACTGCTCCCTTCTCTTGGTACCTGGTGGAGTTTGGCCAGCACGGGCCCCGTCTTCTCCTTCTCCTCGTACTTCTCCACCTTGGCCTGCAGCCTCCGGTAGTCCTGCAAGGCCTGCTCCCGCCGCTTCACAGCCATGTTGAGGCTTGGGAAGACACTGCCGAACCTGTTGGACACGGGCCTTTCTGAGAGCTGTGGCCTAGCAGCTTGGGGTGCTGTCAAGCGCACAGCCCGTGTGTCCACTAAGTGCACTTGGGGGTTGGTGCGAGCACACCAGCTGAGGCCCCAGCGCTGGATGAGCTCCCGCCACTGAGGGTGCTCTCTGGGGTCAAGCCGAGGGAAAGAAGGCAGGGCCGAGGGTCAGCCTGCTGACCCGAGATGAGCCACGGGGGTGGGAATGCGGGGAGCCACTGTCTCGGCCACTGCTCCTTCCCCGCCTGCCTCACACGGCCCTGGCCATGGCAGAGACCCAGAACGGAACACGGCAGAGCTGAAGACTCCTGGCACTCCTTGGCCCAACATCTTCCTTTCATACAACGATCAAAACTGAGGCCAGAGAGAAACAACATGACACGTCCAAGGTTGCCATGAGGTAGTGACCGTGCAGCAGAGAGCTCAGGGGTCCCAGTCCTCTGGCACCTCCCCACCACCTCATCCTGACACTAGCAGGTGACACCTGCCGCCAAAACCTAGTCTGGGGGGCACCTAGGAGGCTCAGTCGTTAAGTGTCTGCCTTCAGCTCAGGTCATGATCCCAGGGTCCTGGGATGGAGCCCCGCATCAGGCTCCCTGCTTGATAGGAAGTCTGCTTCTCCCTCTCCTGCTCCCCCTGCTTGTGCTTCCTCTCTCGCGGTGTCTCTATCAAATAAGTGGAGTCTTAAAAACGAAAACAAAAACAAAAAACCTAGTCTGAGCCTATTTCTATCAGCGGACCATGGCACAAATAGGCATCCTCTGGTTCTCCCACTGAAATGGTGACACCATCCAACCAGATGTTTGGGGAAAACTTAAGGGCATCTGCCTGCCTCTCCCACCCCACCCACCATTCCAAAGGACCACAGGGAAAGGCTGAGGAGCATGCCGTTCACACAGAGTGGCAGTGGACACTTTGGTCCCTGTGGGCATCATCTCTGCGACAGGTGTCATCTTTAATCAGGAAGGGCAAGGAGATCGTGAGATAGACAGAGGGCAGGACCACATCCCAGGCAGGGATGCTGCCCTTCCCTTGATGAGTAAGTGTTGAAGACCAAGAAACCTGCAAGCAGGTGTTCTGGACAGGAGGGGACAGGTCAGCTTCCCTGAATGCAAAGCCTGCAGGGCAGGGGGAGCTGTCGCTGCTGCGGGATGTGGCAGGTGTCTACCCTGTAAACCGGGGGTGCCTGCAGCCCGAGCAGATCTGGCCCCGCAACCGAGGTAAAGGGTGGTGGCAGCCCTGGGGTTATTTAAGGCTGCTGGCCCCAGAGGGGGCAACTCAGAGGCAGGAGCACATGGCGGGGACTCCCCTTCATGGGTGCCCAGTAGCTCCTGGGCCACGATTAGATAGCCTGGATGCCTCATCAGAACGATTCTCCAAGTCTGCCTCTCAAAGGGGTATGCCCACGAATTTGGGGTTCTTTCTTTTCACTTTTTTATTTAAAATTCTAGTTAGATGAATTTTTTTAAAACATTTATTTATTTGAGAGGCAGAGAGAGACAATGAAAGAAAGAGAGCATGAGAGAAGAGAAGTCAGCGGGAGAAGCAGACTTCCTGCTGAGCAGGGAGCCCGATGTGGGACTCAATCCCGGGACTCCAGGATCATGACCCGAGCTGAAGGCAGTCGCTTAACCAACTGAGCCACCCAGGCGCCCCAGATGAATTTGGTTTTTAAAAGCCTCAACAAGTCAAGGGTGCCTGTGACACAGAATAATGGACTTTTTTTTTTTTTTTTTTTGCCAGAGAACAGAGAATATAAATTTGATCAAAGCACTGAATTTCCCAGCCAAGGCAAGGGATGCTGGCAGGGGATTCTGGTGGAACAAAAGGCTTATCCCCAAGAAAGGGCACTAAAATGCATCCCTCTAACGAATGGGGAGTGCTGATGGGCTCACTACCCCACTGGAAAGGCTAGAAGTGGCTAAGACATGCCCTTAGACCAATCAGTCATCAATTAACACTGAACGACAGATCTGCCCGCAGAAGAGGTCTCCTCGGTGCTGTGCGAACTGGGTGTGGGGACTGGCTACCTCCAGGACAAAGGTGTCCCCCCGCGCCCCCAGTCCATGGTAGGTCTGCAGAGGTGAGATCACCAGCAAGGACTAGCTTCGCCATGTGCCTCTGGTAGGGGCTCTGATGGGGTCTCAGTGGCTAGGCGAACCCCTCTCCCTTCCTAGGAGGGTGACCAGCAGCTGAGAGGCGGGGGCTCAAGGCAGCAGGTACAATGGAGCCTGAGAAGCCACCATCACCTCCCCCTCCACCCCAGCCAGACCACGGGCCACTGCTGGGCACCCTCATTCTCTCATTAGAATTGACCTGACTAGGTGGCCCCAGGGCCAGGGCCTCTGCTGTCCGTGCTGCAGTGGCCTTGGGGGGAGCGGGCACAGACAGGACGAGGAGGAGGCAGGAAGCAGCAGGTGAAGCGTTTTCTATTAGACAGAGGGCAGCAGCATGGACACAGCACGCGGGGCAAGCTCTGGGGGGCCGGGTGGGATGACCACCACACTGGTTGATGGTGCAGTTCTGGATACCCTCTGACCCCAGCAGCACTTGTCTTTCCACTCGTCCTCGGTTGTCACTGGGGGTCGGTTCCCAGGGCCTTCCTGGGTCAAAGGCACCAGAGACACCGACTACATGCAAGGACTGGAACAGCTTATAAAGGAGACAGGACTCCCACCCGAGGGCCAAGCCCCGGGCCCCAAGGAGGAAGCGAGGCATGGGGCCAGGACTACAGATGTCCACACGATGCCGGGCAACCTCAGGGCCCACCAAGTGTAAGAGTGGGTGTGCCTCCACGACGGGGCTCAGTCTCTGGAAGCAAGACCACCCGTTCCCTGTGGGGAGGAAGTGGCCCCAGCGCACACTGGCCCCAGCTGCTCTGTTAGAGCCAAATATCTCTTTACCACGGTAACTTCTGCCACCCAAGATGGTGCCCCTCAGTCACACGAAGAGGCCTCAGGAGGCTTAGCTGGCAGGTCAGGAGTCACTTACCACCTGGATGGTTTTGGGCCCTGGGCTCCGGGACTCCCTTGCGGGAAGAGGCAGGTGTCATGCCCTACTTACATTGAAGTGGGTAAACTGAGGACAGGCAGGGAGACCAGAGAGCGCATTTGAGGTGGCGGACAAAAGCGTGGCGGTCCAGGGCTCTGTAATCCTGGTCCCGGTTACTGCCCCAGTGAGGCCCCACCTCCCCATTAACTACGTGGACACGATGCGCGGGACTCTGCCGGCTCCCTGCGTTGGGCAGTGTGGGCACCAGGCTGGGGAGCAAGGCCAGGAGCCTGGATGGCAGCGGTTGGGGGTCCCAGGTGTGGAGTGTCTGGTGCTCTCCTCCACCCTCAGGTCAGGGAAGAAAGGGGGCAGGGAAGTGGGGGTAGGCACAGGCTGGTCCCTGGGCCTTCCCAGACTTGCTCCCACGACCGCACAGGGGTACCTGCTGACTTCAGCTGACCAGGAAAGGTGGGGGACCCGGCTCTTACCGAGGCCAGAAGTCCACACTTTCACCGGGCTGCCACTAAGAAACAAGGCTGGAAAGTTGGACCCCCTCTGCTCAGTGTCCCACTTTCCCTGAAAATTAGCGGTGATGGGGATCACGGGGAACACCGCAAACATGGAAGGCCCTGGGCCAGGGCCCGCAGGCAGACTCTACCTTCCATAGGCAGCCCAACCCACCACGGGCCACCACTTCAGCCCACGGCCACCTCTGTCCCCTTCCTCCTGAGCGCGGACTCGAGCCACGACAGGGATGGGCTTCAGGCCTCCCCTTCTATAGACGGGAAAACCGACTCAGAGGAGCAGGGACCTAGCCGGGGCTGCAGGCTGGCTGGGGGCATGCTGGCCCGCCCACCGCACAGCACCACTGCGGCGATTACAGACCATCCAGGTCCTTCTTCCTGAGGATGCCACTGTGGTGTCCACCTAGGTCACAAGCTCCTAAAATCTGTGCTGTGTCTACGCTTCCAAGAAGGGCGAACTGGGCTGGGCCCACACCACACCGTTGCTGAAGCTCTGCCCAGGTGACTATGACTGTCCTAAGGTTCAACCAAACTGCCCCCCCATGCCCCAAGCGATGGGGTGAGGAGGCAGAGAGAGGGAGGAGGGAAAGGGGGAAGGAGAAAGAGGCCGGCTGGGAGGTAGGCTGGGAGCAGCCGGCCCTGGTGGGGAATGCCTGCCATTCCTCAATCCGTGCCCACACAGCCGGGATCTTCCACCCACCAGGAAAGGGAAATTGAAAGCATCCCCATCCGACCATGTGAACGCAGCCCAGAGACTGGGGGATTAGAGGCCGAGCCCCCTGGGGGGAGACCGGGGGCGGCCGGGTGGCCATGTGGCGATGTTCTTCATCAGAGGACAGGAAAGCTGCAGTTTCCTGTTTCCGGTACCGGGGTCCCTGGGAGCGTCTCTCCTGGCAAGAGGCGGCAACAGGCAGTGCCGGTTTTATGTGGTTAGGGGAGATCGCATGTCGGCGCTGGGATGGAGGAGCCCGCCGGGGAGGCAGGCAGGCAGGCCTGGGAGGCTCAGGCAGAGGTCAGCGGATCCACTGCGGAGATGGTGCCCGCCCCCTGTGCTGCTCACCCACCTTCCTGGCAGGTGGTGGGCTGCTGGGGTGGTGGGAAGCAGCCGGGATTTCTCTCCATTTGGCTCTAGAAGCCAGGCATCAGATTTCAAGGCCGCCTCCTTGGTTGTGAAATCGAGATGGGAGTCAGTCCCCTTGTTCCCTGAGCTGGTGTCCCCTGCCTAGCTCTGCCAGCCGTGGGTGTCCATGGCAGCCTCAGTGGCGGCCCCTGGTCCTTCCCATCCAGTTGCCAACCCTCGGTCCCGGAGACCCGGTCAGAAGGCCACCAGCAATGGAGCTCCTGCCGACACCTCCCTCCCAAGCCACCAGCCTCTTCGGCACCCAGTTCCTCATGGAACCCTGCAACCCGGGGCTGAGCAGGGGATAGGGGGCCGGGGTTCAGGGAAGGAGTGGGGGACGCAGGGAGAAATCCCTTCCCACGCAGGCCGAGCCTCCAGACAGCCCAGGCTTAGAAACAGCTTTCCCTAACCCCACCCCTTGGACCCGAACAGGGAGCGAAGAGCTCCAGAGCCCCAACGCCAGGGGCTGGAGGACCAAAACCTGCTCTCTTCGTCTCCCTCCGGGCCCCGGTCCAGGCCTAATGGTAATTAGCAGAGCCTCATTACCCGGGCCTGGTGAGGCAGCTGCCAGGGACCACCACAGAAGAGGTAATAAAGTGCAGCTGCCGGGCTGGAGCAGGAGCCTTTCTAGGTCAGAGGCAGTTTGGGAGAGGCTGGGGAGGAAGATGAAGTGATCCGGGAGCTTCAAGGCAATGCTCCTCCTGCCCACCCCCCGGCCCACCCCCTCTGGGGACTCAGGGAATAGGCCTGTCTGATCACTGCCCAGGGCCTGCTGGAGAGAAAATGAGTCTTACAGAAGAACTTCTGACCCTGACAGGTCACGAGTCAGGGGACCTTCCCAGGCAGGACCCCGCTGCTGCGCCCTTCCCCATGTACAGCCACCCCCACATTTCAAAAGCCGAGCGCTCCAGGCAGCTGCTCTCCCGGCAGCGCGGCGGGGAGATGAAAGGCCCTGCCCATCCCCGCAGAGGGCTGGCCGAGATCTCTGCTCGCCCAACGCAGCCAGCTCCGGGCCCTCTGCTTCTCCACCAGGAACAAAGGGGAAAATGGCCAAGTGACCACCGGAGCAGAGGCCGTCTGGCGCGGCGGATCAGAAGTGCCTCATGGTCACTGGGCGCACCCGGGCCAGGCACGCGCACTCTGGAGCCACCACAGGAACCACCCCCGAGGACCATGGGGCCGCGGCTGGTGTCCCTGTTTCGATTCTGGTCAGCCCCGTGTGCGTCTGGAAACAGGCTGCTAGAGACCCTATCTGGCCGCCAACTGGCCAGTGGGCCTGCCTTCCCAATAAGTGCCCCGAGCCCAGGTCTCTGAGGCCTGTGGTCCCCAGACGACGTTTACTTACTTTTTTAAGGGTTCAATCACGGTCTTTTGAATCTGGTTCACCTGTTAAGAGCAAAAAACCCAAAGACATCAACACCGAGGGGAAGTCAGACTCTTCCTCAAACGAGAGGCTCCAGGTTCCTGAGAAGAGAAAAGCAGCCTCGGGGCTCTGCTGAGAACCCCGGGCAGGGACGAGACCTGGGCTGGGGGGGACTGGGGTGGGACTGGCAGGTGGGGCACCCCAACTCTGCCGCTGCAGTGAGGCAGAGCTGACGCCCGGGACACCCGAGGGCAGCAGGGAGTACTGTTCTGGTTCTGGTTCCAGGTCAGGTGTCCTCCCGCCCGCCCACTGCAGCCCTGCTCCGTGGGGAGGCCGGGTGGGCAATGACAGCGAGGGAAAGGGGCTGCGGGCGTGCACAGCTACCCTGTCTCCCTCATGGTCTCACGGTGAGTGCGCCATGGGACGCAACCAGGGCCGAGGCAGGGCTGGGAAAGAGCTCCCAGCGCTTGCAACACTCGGGCCTCAGAGGGCTTGAAGGCGGCCAAAGAGAAGACCAAGCCCATTAAGGACTCCGCATAGGCACTCCACCCACACAGAAGCCGTGAGAAGGCAGGAGAGCAAGACCCCCACTTACCTTTTCCTGGTTGAAGGCATCCATCCGTTTCATGGCCGTGTCCAGAGCTGTCACCATGTTCAGGAAGTCCTGGTCTTGCTCGCAGAGGGGATTGGAGAGCAAGTCCAAGGATATCTTCACGGCAGACTTGGACATGGCTGTAAGAGGTCAAAGCTCAGTGAGCCTGGGAAGGGACAGGCTTCAAGGTCTCATTGCCAGGACCCCGTCCTCCTGCAGTCCAGGGGCCATACTCTGACCTCCCCCAGGCCGCACACCATAAAAGCTTCAGAGTACCACAGAGCATGAGTCACGAGTCCTTCCTGTCTGGTGACTGTTCCTGACCACTGGATGCCGCTCTGGGTAATTCTTTTGAGTGGCTTTACCTTTTGCAATGACTTAATTTTCTGATGTCTAGATTTTAACAGAATCATTTGGGTGGGAAGCTATAAAAAAAATACTTATTTCTAGCTCTACAGATTCTCATTCAGTAAGTCTGGAATCCAGGAACATGCATTTTAAAGAAACTCTTAGGGGTGCCTGGGTGGTTCAGTCATTAAGTATCTGCCTTCGGTTCGGGTCATGATCCCAGAGTCCTGGGATCGGGTCCTGCATCGGGCACCCTACTTGGTGGGAAGCCTGCTTCTCCCTCTCCCCCTCCCCCTGCTTGTGTTCCCTCTCTCACTGTGTCTCCCAACAATGGAGCCTTAAAAACCTGTACCAGACCAAGAACTCCAAAGCTGCCAATGGGTTCCCACCCCACTACTCCCCCCACCCCCATTTCATTCAGGGCTCCAACAACCCGGGAGACATCTGGGGTGGTGTATTTTGGCTCCATTTCCCAGATGAGGCAGGTGAGGCTCAGAAGAGCTCGTAATGGGCTACAGGTCAGACAACTCCAAATGCAGAGCCAGGCCCAGACTCCGGGCACCTGCCTCCCTGTCTGCTGATCGACCAGGCCTGGAGACACTGTGGTTGGGCCCCACGGGCTCTGCCGGGGTGTCTGCTTATGCTGCCCAAGGTAATTTCCCCATGCACGGAGACCACTGCCCCGCTGTAGCCTTGTCCATGTGTTCTGACACCCTGTGTGACATATGGGGAGCCCGGAGATCACAGGGCAGCTCCGAGGCAGGTGGGAGCTCTATCAGCAGCTCTGGGGTTCTTGGTCCCAGACAAGTTTTTAGGTCTCCATTACTTGTAAAAAAAAAAATTCTAGAGGGGCAGGTCAAGAGACCGGAGAAGGGCCATGCCTGCTCCATACTGTCTGTGCCAGTTTCAAGGTCTCAGGGGAAAACAAGTTTCTGAATATATTACTATTTCATGCCATGAATTTAAGATGCTAGCAACCGCAAGACACATTGTTACCGCACAGACCATTAGGAAAGGACAAAAGTGCCAACTAAACATTATCAAGTGCCACGGTGTCTTGATTTCAGAGATGTTATTAAATGTGAAAAAACGTCTTTGCATGGATGAAATAAGGGTCACTCCAGTTCGTGACAGATGTGGCCTCGCCTGGCCCCTGCATCCAAGGAGGGAGCATCCCCAAGGCCAGCCCCAGGCCGCTTCGAGGAAGGGGAGACAGAGAAGCCCACCTGGGGGGACCATCTTCCCTTGGGCCCCTCCACATGCCCACGAAGAGGCCCCCGGTAGATGACCGGCCCGCCATGTCCTGGTTTTTTCTCGAACCTGGGAGCTTGCTGCCCTCACCCAGCAAAGGGGCAGAGTATGGGAGAAGCCCGGGAAAGCAGACCTCCCAGAAATGCTGAAGCAATGGAGCAAAAAACCCTCTTTCAAAGCTGTGAAGTGACTTTGCAGGCTTAGGAGCGAACATCATGTGGAACCCGCCTGGGTTATGAGATGACCTCAGACGGTATAATGAAATGATAAAGCCTCAGACAAAACTGGAAACGTGTTTGAAAAATTTCTTCCACTAATTTTTTTTTTTTTAATATTTGAAAAAAAACCCCTGAAAAGTTGGAATGGGGGAAGACTTTCTTCCCAATTTTCCTTTTCTTTCCTGAAGCGCTCACACTTCCTGCCTTTGTCTCCGTTCGAATCATCCAAACCTTCTGAAGTTAATTAACAGCATGGAATTCCCCCGGCCCCGGGAGTCCTCACCGGCCTCTGTGAGCGCTGCTGGGCCCTCACTCTCAGGGACTGGGAGGGTGTGGCCAGCCCAGCGCAAACTGGGAGCCTGGTGGCCTTTGAACTTTAAAGGAGGGGGGGGGTCTTGGACGCCACATAGGTCTCTGGAGCCCCTATGCACCCTCAGAATTTAACAGTCAACAAAGACTGGTCACATGCAGGTGAACTTGCCTGGGCACACGGGATGGGATTTTGGTTCTTGTCCAGGCAGTTGAGGAGACCTGAGATCAGGAAATTTGATTCCCCTCAACCATCTGGAGCAGCAGTTCTCAAAATGGGGTCCCCGGACCAGCTGCAGCAGCACTGCCTGAGGGTGGGCCTTCCAGGGACTCTGATGCACCGGCTGTGGGGTGCAGGCCTTGGGCGGGGCTGGGGTGCCGCTATTTCAGGAGGGCCTTCTCTGTCCAGACTCTGCTCTCGACTCTGGGCTCCAGGGGTCCCCGTTTATCCTGGTTTCTTTATTAGAAAACCATGCTATCCACTTCATGGGTCTCTGACATTCCACTGCTTCCAGAGCCGTTCACTATGAAAACACTACCTTCCCTGCATCTGGGCTCCGACCCTATAGTTGTTGGGAGAAGCACCCAGGAAGGGAAGCAGTAAGTCACAGCCTCTTTTTTTTTTTTTTTCTTTTTTTAAAAGATTTTATTTCCTAGGGCGCCTGAGTGGCTCAGTTGGTTAAGCCACTGTCTTTGGCTTGGGTCATGTTCCCAAGGTCCTGGGATTGAGCCCCACATCTGGCTCCTTGCTCAGTGGGGAGCCTGCTTCTCCCTCTCCCTCTCCCTGCTACTCTGCTTGCTTGTGCTCTGTCAAATAAATAAAATTCTTAAAAAAAAATACGGATTTTACTTATTTACTTGATATATAGAAAGAGTACAAGTAGGGGGAGCGACAGACAGAGGCACAGGGAGAAGCAGACTCCCCACTGAGCAGGGAGCCCAATGCGGGACTCGATCCCAGGACCCCGGGGATCATGACCTGAACTGAAGGCAGATGCTTAACCAACTAAGCCACCCAGGTGCCCTACCACAGCCTCTCCTGTACTGGAAAGGCAGTGGTGAACGATGAAAGATTCCACCCAGGCAACCTGGAGCTACCCACAAGACAAAAAGATGGGGCAGACCCTTGGCCCACTGCACACACAGCCTGGAAGGGCCGGGGCAGTCGTGTCCAGACCCACCTGCGTCCTGGGGATGGGCAGCGGCATGTGGCCCTGTGCACAGACCTCGGGAGCCAAGCCGCATGTGACAGAGGGCCGGAGGTCCACCTGTACCCCCGGGCTAGGCCTGGCTTAGGGATACGCCACCTACCCAGGTCAGCATCGGTGCTCTTCTTCATGTCCTTCTGCAGCCTCCTGGTCTGCTCCTCCAGCCTGCAAGGCAGGGGCATGGCCCTGGGCACCTGGCACCGCCAGCTCGCTTCAGCCCCTTCCTTCCCATCTACCTGAGCTAAACCCAACCTGACGCTCTGGACCGCCTGCCAGGAAAAGCAGGGGCCCCTGCACCGCGGGGATCTGTCCTACCAATGGTAGGCACATTGGCCTGTGCGAGGCCAAGAACCCAAAGGCTAAGAGTTAACGACTCTCACACAGCTATCAGCTGGGGGAGAATTTCTGGCAGGCTGTGAACTGAGCTGCCCTGGGCTCCCAGGCTGCTGGCGGGACAGAGGAGCGGCCCCGCTGCTGGCTGCTGGCAGTGCCAGGAGGGGCCCTGCGGGAGCTGAGACGTGGCGGGAGGCTCCTGCCCTTCTCCCTCCCAACCCCCCCATCCTTCTGGGATTTGACACTCACTGCTGGAGTTTTCCATACTCCCTCTCAAAATCTCTCTCCACCTGTAAGCAAAGAGATAACTCAATCATCAGAGAAATGACAACACGGTGGAAAAAATCTGCCAGCCAGCTGAAACTCCCCACACGCCCTCCCCGGGGCTGCGGAGAACCACCCCGTCCAGTCCACACAAGCACCGGCAGATCGTTAACGACACAGTATCCCTGTGTTCCCGAATTAATTAAGTGTTTGATTTAGGGCAAAAGACTCCCCTCCCACATAGGCCAGCCCGGCAAGTAGCAGCGGATTGTGGCTCTGTTCTGCCACCACAGGGCGCGAGGCACTGGGCTGTGTTCCCTTTCCCCACCCCCCCACCCCTCGTGGGGCAAGTGAGGTGCTCAGAATGTGACTGAGACTCAGGCAGCCCAGGGGGGGAGCAGGCGGTCCCCTGCTGCTCCACGCCCCGGTTTCCTTACAGGGCCTACCTCCTGCGACCTTCAAAGTTCAAGGTGTTTCAGGGTGGATCCAGAAAGCTCCTGTCTCCACTCTGTGTGCTGAAATGTTCCCAGTGCAAATTGTTACTCCTGGCTTGGTCAACGCTCTCTTAAAACTCTTCATAAGTTAACCGATTTCCCCAATGCCAGCAACATTTACATCAGGTGAGCGTGAGTCCTGGTCCCAATTCTGCTGCCTCCACGTCAGGAAAGTCAAGAAAGCCACCTGCACACCTAGCACCCGAATGTCCTCATCTGTCCACCGGGGCCCTGGCCATGGTCCCTTAGGAGAGTGGCCTGTGATGCAGATGACATCTGTGAGCCACAAAGAGGGGACCGAGGCCAGTCTTCCTTCCTTTCCACATGGGCAGGACCGGCTCCTTGGACAGCTTGCTGAGCCTCTGGGCTGAGGTGCTCCAGGAAAACCAGCTCATGCTCTCAGGGTGCTCACCTTGTGCTCCTGGCCACAGCCGCTCCTCCACAGCTGGAGGAGGCAGAGGTACTCATTACCCCCCTGTACTCAGGAGCTCCCTCAGACAGAGGCAAAGCAAACTGCGCATGATCACACCACTAGAGAGTGGCAGAGCCGGGAAGGGGACACGGGCGGCCTGGCTCCAAGGCCTGGGCTTTTACCTGGCATTTTGAGAATGGGGAAAAAGGTATTTGCTGATTAAAGTCATGACCTAAGAAAGATGCCTTCTTGGCTGCTCCCAGAGACTCCTGCCAGTGTGAGCCCTGAACCCTGCTTCTCAATCTCCCGACAGGCCGGCTGAAGCTCACGGAGAGGGAAACTGTGCAAAGTGTCAAGGCCCCACTGTTCTTCATCAACACACCCTTCTGTCACAGTGCCCTGTGAAGCATTCGGGAGTCCCACAGACCCCATACTCCTCCTGTGCATTTGGGTAAACTCAACATAGTCCCGGAACGGCAGAACAGTATTTGGGCCAATTATTTCCTGTTACAAGTGAGGGTAACAAAGCCCAGAGGTCGGGGGGGTGATTTTCGGGAGGATGCAGGGCTGGTCGGTGGCAAAGGAAGGTGGAATTCAGACTCTGAGCTCAGCACCCTCCTCTGCTTTGAAAATAGCATTCGTTAATCCCACAAACATTTACTGAGCAACTATTAAGTGCAACGCATTCTGCCAGGTGTGAGGGCTCCGCTGGTGAACAGACTGGACGTGGGAACTGGTGGGAGAGATGACACAGATTCAATATACAAGTGTACATGTGTAGCCCCAGCTGGGGGCAGGGCCACACGCTGGAGAACCTGCCTAGCCAGGGTCCCACGCCATGGCAACGTGTCTCCGCCCTTGCATGGACATACCTCACTTTCTCATCTGAACTGTCAAATTGTGAGGTAGTAGCTCGGGGTCTCTTCTTACTTTATGTGCCCAGCATCTGGGACCTGACACAAAACTGTGAAGTAAAATTCACCACTGGTTTCCCTCTCTCCGGTAAGTCTTTGCTCTCTTTGCAGCAGACCCCCCCCGCCCTGCCACCTCTCCACCCAGGAACCTGACATCTTCATCATCGCCTTCCTTAAGATCCAACAAAAGCTGCTCTAGAGAAATTCGATATTCGCACCCACGAAAGCATATATTCCTGACAAAAGCTTCACGTGCCCCCTATCCCGGGGGATGTGTAGTGGGGCAGGAATCAAAGTCTCAGCCAAAGCCTGAAGAGCATCTGGCGAGATGGCAGGCGAGGGCTTTGTTCTGGGGCAGGGGGCCTGGCCCTGGCCCAGCAAGTCTGCACTGTGGCAGTCCAGCCCTTTCTCTGGCAGTGCCACCGAGGACGGCGGGGGACAGGAGCGAGCAAAGAAGGACGAGACCTGAACTGATACCAGCTGTGCAGCATGAAAAATACTACCTAACGTTCTGAGCCTGGGTTTCCTTCCTAGAGGAATGGGATCGCCCTGGTTAGGCTTTCCCTGTGAAGACTGCTGGTGGCTGCCGCATTTTAGCGGCGTCGGGCCTGCTGGCTGGCTTGAGGGATCCCCTAGCAGTCTGTGCAGAGCCCGGTGCCTGGCCTGCTGACGGTGTCTCCTTGCTCCTCTCCTATATGCAGGGGCGCTGGGAGGCCCAGAGCAGTCGGGGGGTGCAGACTGGACCCTAACCCCTCAACTGGGAGGACAGGCAGCACATAGCATGGGGTCGGCTGATAGCCAGACCTTCAGCTAAGCCTGGATCGTGTGCCTGGGGGTTGCACCGGGGCCTTCCTTCACGGGACACATCCCCTCTCTTACTCTGCAGGATTTGACCACTAAGCAAAGTCTTCACATACAAAAAAGCCTTTTTTCCCCAAAAGAAAAAAATTAAATGAAGGAGGTCTTGGTCAGAATCCAGCCCTCCCGATGAAGAACACGGAGTCGGTGCTCCTGGAGGGGGGGCGGGTACGGAGAAGGCCTGCCGACCCACCGGAGCTATGGCTTTGGCTCCCAGCACCCTCTTTTGCGATCCCCACGTGTGCTGATGCGTGTGTGGGATGGCAGGGTCCCCCTGGCCGGGACTGCTTGGACTTGCACAGAGCGAGCGACGGTGGGGTTCCGGCTGGGCTGGATCACTCTGGTTGCTGAGAAACGAGGTCTCATGCTGGCAGCTGACAAGTATGTTGGGGTAGGGCTGGCTCCTTTGACCTCTGCTCAAGGCCACGTGGCTGCCTGCGATGTCCATGAACGTCTCCCTCCTCTGCTTCTGGTAGCCAGGTGTGGCTTGCTCCTACAGCTCGCTGGTCTCAAGATCCCTCTCCTCCCCTGGGGGAAAGAGCCAAGGCAACACCACCAGGATTCTGGCCCCTCAGACAACGGCTAAGGGAATAGAGAGACACACTGGAGTCTCAGTCCAAGGTCTATCCACTCTGAGGGAAGAGCCAAACACAAGAGATCTGAACATCTTTGAATGCTTGATGCTTCCGCCAAAGAGGCAACTGGCCCCAAGTCAACAATGTGAGTGTAAACACATGTGCAGACTGTCAGAGGGTCGGGGTGGGCTGGGCCGGCGAGGTTAGCGCAGGGGGACTGAGCACCCCGCCGTATGCTGCTCCCCGCATGCTCCACGGCTTCAGGTGCTGTTCCCCGCTCTCCCCGCCACTGGCCTAGGGTCAGGGTTAACACGGAGCAAGAGTCAGGATTTGTGAAGGGTTAAGGGGCCTGAGCTCCCACCCAAACTGCCACTTGTGAAGGGAAAAGGGAGATGGGTAGGCAGGGCCGGGACTCCGGCACCCGAGCCACGCTGTGGCAGGTCAGAGCTGAGGCGGAGGGCATGCGGGCCTTCTCAGAAGCCTCTCTCTGAGGGGTGCTGGGGGCGGGGGAAGCAGCTTCCCCGGGGATGTCGCAATACGATTAAATGAGGCTGAGAGACTCTCTGCTTGGCAAGGGACCATCTCCCTCCAGGGAAGGCTCGACATGGCGACCTGGCCGGTGTTCTGCCTTGAGGCTGTGGAGCGCCGCCCCAGCTGAGAGTCGGAGAGGGCGCCTTCCTGCCCGTGGAGACCCGGGCTAACTGCTTCAGAGACGGCGTCCATCCTGCCGGGTTGCAGAGGGAGGAGCTGCTTCCCTCCCCCACGCCAAGCTGTTCCAGCTGCCTTCTGGGATGGAGGGGCAGGAGGGGGCTAAGCCGAAGGCTGGGACTGGGGGGTGTGGGGGTGCCCGTCCTGCCCCTTCCAGGGCCGTGGCCAGCCCCTGCTGAGAACACGCTACCCCAGCCCAAGCCCTGACAATAACGGAACTCGGGTTAACGACCTGGGCACAGGAGAAGAGCGCGAGCACTGCACAGTGCTTCCTTTGTGTCGGCAGCTGGGTGCCTTGAGCCAAAAACCTCCTGAAACTCCCTGAAGATAACATGAGCGTTTCTGCCCATGACAGGGGCACCAGGACTTCCCGTCAGCAGGCAGCCACGTCTGCCGCTCTCTGACAGCGCCCGGGTGAGACCAGCAGGGCATTCTCACCATGTGCAGGCAGCCGCCATGGCGGCCTGAGCCCGGCCTGTTGTAGGGGCCTGGAGTGGCAGAGCACGAGACCCAAAGGGGCAGGCTCTCACTCTTCATATTTCAGTGCCTCTGAGGAGTTGAGGGAGCATAGAACTCTCTTCCAAGCCCTAACATGGCTCTGGTTCCTTGGGAGAGATCAAAGGCCCGGCCGACCATTCCCTCCCTGCCCCACTAGGGGATCCGGCCGCTCTGGGGACAGGCTGCATCCCCAGGAGTTTAGAAACTCTCTTCCCATCATGGAGTTGACATTTCTTGAGGGCTCGTTATGTGTCAGACACTGTGTTCAGTGCTTCATACGCGTGACCTTACATAAGACTCCGAATACGTCAACGGCATGGGTACCAGGATCGTCTGCACTCATGAAGGAGGAAAGCAAGGCTCAGAGAGGGTAAGGGCCTTGTCTATGGTCATCACACACAGCACATGGCAGAGCGGTGGGAATGCAGGCAGGAAACCTCCCAAATCCGGCTTCTTAATCACGAGTTGATGCCCAGTTTGTCTGGGGGAGCAGATTCCCGAAGTCAAAGGACCACAGTTCTACCTCAAACAAGACCCCCATGAGGAGCAGGAGAAGCAGGCCAGGGGCCCACTGCCAGCCTGTCTGTAGGGCCATCCGCTGGCACTGGGATTGTACCTGTCCTTCCTCTGGGGAGACCTCGCCACTCCTCAGATTAAAAGACCCAGAGATCTGTCAAAAAAGAGCCTCTGGTAAAGCTAGAAAGTGAATTGTAGCCTGTATTTTTCTATGGAGAACAATGGCTATTTCCATAGAGGTAAGGGTGTTAGGAGAGTTTTCTGTTTGTCTGTTTGTGTTTTGGTAGTGAGTGTGGGGAATAAAGGACCCTTCTCAAAAACCACTTCCCTTTTAGATCTGCCCTGGATTAAACTCTGGAGACTCAAAGCCACACCTTCCCACTTCCTGTAGCCGGCTGGAGCCCAACACTTGCACGCCCAGATTCTCTGTGCTTCAGCTGAGGGCCTCCGCAGATGGCCAGCCTCTGCATGGGAGGTAAAGTGCCGTCTGTCCTCGGCCTGCCTTCACTTGAAAGAGAAATGCAGGCTCACTTCCTTTTAAGTGGCCTGACTTTGGATTTTCCAAAGACTGAGCCATTGGTCAGATGTGTGCTGAACTTCCCTTCTTGCCAAACTGCCGTGGTAGCGTTCCTGTAGTCCTGAGTCCTGAGCCAAGCAGGGCCGAGGCTGTGAAGCCAAGGAGGCCCGTCAGGCGCTCCAGCAGGCCAACGGTGCTGGGCACAAGGAGAGGTGGTGTGTAGTAATGCTTCCCCACAGTGAGGCCCAGAGCCTGCTCCAATTTGTGGGATAGGGGGTTCAAGAGGCCATTCTTTACCAGAATTCCCCAAACTTGGAAGACCTTCGCAGCCTGAGGAAGGCAGCCCAAAGGAATGGAATGTGTATGGAACAGAGGCTCCAAGTCACTGTGACTTCATGGGCCTTGGTTTTCTCACCAGAAATATCAGGTTGGACGGGATGATCACTAAGGGCTTCTACCTCTAACTTTCTAAGAATCTGTGATTCCTCTCCCATTCTGGGGATAGAATAGGGATAAAAACCGCAGGCTTTCGGGGTGCCTGGGTGGCTCAGTGGGTTAAGCCTCTGCCTTCGGCTCAGGTCATGATCTCAGGATCCGGGGATCAAGGCCTGCATCGGGCTACCTGCTCTGCAGGGAGCCTGCTTCCCCCTCTCTCTCTGCCTACTCTCTGCCTACTTGTGATCTCTCTCTCTGTCAAATAAATAAAAAAAAAATCTTTAAAAAAAACAAAACAAAAAAAACCCCGCAGACTCTCAAGGGGGTAGGATTCACTCATGCCCTCCCGCAGACTCTGGGTCCTTGCCAAGATGCCTTTAGCAGTAGAGAGAAAGGGACCTCCCCAGAGAAGCTTCCTGATCCTCACACAGCTTGACTGGCTGGAGATAAAGGTTTGGGACATGTCCTTGGTGGGGGCCTACGTTTCAGGAGCCCTCTTAGGGAAGCACAGACTACAAGCTAGATCATAGAGATGGGCCCTATAGAAGCCACAGATTCCTCCTCACCTGTCACCTACCTCCTCGACCCACTCGAGGATGATGGGGAGGAGCCCAAGCTGATCTGTGGAAGGAAAATGTCCCAGGCTAGGAGGTCCCCACAAGCCCCAGTCTAGGTGAGGTTCTAGAGTGACATGGCTGGGAGGAAGGCAGCCTGGGTGCAGCCCTCTCAGACCCACAATGAGCTGAGTCAAAGTTCTGATTCTCTGCAAAGGCCACGTGAGACAGACTGAGCTTCAGAATGAAAGAATTGGGTTACTCACTGTTTTGGGGACAATCTGTTTCTTGGGCTGCCCAATCTTGAAAGGAATCCTATGAGAGAAAGAGACAAAGGGGGCTTTTAGGAGAGATGGGGAGGGATGTGGTTGAAAAGCACTGACGAAGCGTAAGCTGCTGTCCTCCTGCAGCGGCTTGCTCCCAGCCCCTGTGCCACACACCCCGTGGGTCTAGGGCCGGCGGTAGCCAGGCCGGGCTCCGGAGCGCCGGGCTCTGGAGCACCAGCTGGGAGTTGTGGGCACCACCTTCTGTCCCAGAGCATCTCTCCTGGCAAGAGTCCGGTGTGCAGCTGCATTGCAGGGGTGAGGGCGGGAAAGGGGAGACACCGATCGGCTCACAGTCACTGTATATCTGCGTCCTGAGGAGCTGCAAAGTCAGAAATTACAGGTTCACCGGGGTAGCGATCAGCCTTGAAAACCAGCGTTTAAAAAAACACCTTGAGCAGCACTTCTCATCTGCATTAGGGGCTTCACTACTTCGCTACAAGGGACAAACAGTAGCCCTGCAGAGCGGCTGCTGTGGCTGGAGAGGGACAACAAGCTACAGGGGCATGAAGGACCAGCCAGGCTGGGTCATTCCCGGTAAGTACTGACAAAAGTGAGCCGTGGCTAATTGTGAGAGGACTCTGAGCCTAGCCCAAGTCTGTGCTGACCCTGCTGGGATGCTCTGCACTGTAGGTTCCCCACTTGGAAACCGAGCACAGTTTGGCATAACAGAAGGAAGGTCAAGATCTAAAGCAACCCACCACTGCTACCTCTGCCTCCGAGCTGGCCACCCTCTTGCAGGTAAGGAGGGCCCAGCAATTCACTTCCTACTCTGTGAAAGGACAGGGTCAAACTGGATAATTCAGAAGCTGCCTTGAGGTGCTGAGAATTTTGATTCTCCGATTCTGAGAAGCGTGCCCAGGCCAGAGGCAAACACAGCCAGTGTCCATGGCTGGAGAAACAGAAAGTCCCCGAACCCACTTCTCCCCCCTCAGCTAACAGGGAGTTAAGTGCTTCTGGGATCAGCTCAGGGTACAGGGCCACAGCAGGAGAGCCCTGAGGGGACAATGCCATTCCCACTCCCACTCCTTTCAGTGCTCCCGTTCAAACCTCCCGCTTCCACCCATTCACCCGCCCCTTCCCTCGGCACCCCCTTCTGCCCAAGCCTGCTTTCTCTTGGCCCAAACTGACCAACACTGTTGCTAAACCCAATGGTATAATTAACCACCGATAATAACCCCAGACAACGAGCCGGTTGAGAGGATGGGCTGGCCTGAGTCACAGTGGTTTAAATTTAATTTCTGGAGGACATCCTGTTTATTGTTAACCCAGCCCGGTAATTTGGGAGCGTTAACCCTTTGGGGGCTGGCTGACTCACGTGGCTTCTGTAAACAAATAATTGGGCAGCTCTATAATTAGCGGAGGGAAGGTAAGCGCTGGAACTGAAAAGGAGAGTAAAGAATTGCTCTTTCCTGTCTTACAGCTCTAAAGAACAGAGATTAGGGGAGCACAGCTCCAGAGTCCTCTCCTCTTGCCCCCTGGTAACTCTCCCCAAAATTAGGGATCAGAGTTGACTGAGACAATGGTTTTGGCCAGCGAACAATTGCCCTCAAGGGCCATTTTGGTGACAGTGCAAATGAGGTCCTGGTGGCACTGAGAAAAGATTGACTCTGCTCCGCACGAAGCATGCTGTGGTCTAACAAGCTCTAGACCGGAAATCAGAGAGCCTGCTCTCTGCCTCTGATTCGTTTTGTGGACAAATCATGAGCTCTCCAGAGCTCAGTTTCTTAAACTCTAAAACCAAGGAGATGGACTAGAGGGTCCCTTCAGCCCATCTAAAACTTGAATTCTAGGGGTGCCTGGGTGGCTCAGTGGGTTAAAGCCTCTGCCTTCAGCTCAGGTCATGATCCCAGGGTTCTGGGATCCCAGTGTCCTGGGATCGAGCCCCACATCAGGCTCTCTGCTCACCGGGGAGTCTGCTTCCCCCCTCTCTCTCTGCCTGCCTCTCTGCCTACTTGTGATCTCTCTCTCTGTCAAATAAATAGAAAATCTTAAAAAAAAAAAACAAAACGTGAATTCTAAACTGAATCTTTGTTGTAGGAACATGGGAGCCAGATGAGAATTCTCCAGAATTCGCACAGTTGTCTTCGAAATGATGCTAACTGGGAGTCTAGTACTACAGACCAGCTACAAAGAAATTAGGAACTTAGATGCTATCACTTGTGGTGCCACAGCCTCTCTAAATCTTAATTTGGAATCACAGTATTTATAGAATTGCAAGTTACCATAGAAATTGTTCCAGTTCAACCCTCTCATTTTGTAGATGGGAGAGCCAATGTGGAGAGGTCCAGTGACTCGCCCAGGGTCATGCTGCTGGCTCACAACTGAGCCAGGAGTAAACAATTCCCTTCTCTCGCTCCGCTACTCATGGTTTACTACACTTTCACGTGACTTTGTTAGATTTCTTTAAAGGAACTAAGAAAAATCATCTGCTTAAACTACCTAATCTTAACATACTATGGAATTTCGAAGGGGCTCCTTGGTTTTTAGAAGACTGGAAACACAAGAAATGAAGAGAGCAGTGTTGCCGGGAGGAAGGAGGCTGTGCTGACCGGCTCCTTCGGCACAAATGACAGGTTACGTGTACCACGTCAACTGCGTGCAAAATGTCACCAATAACGTCGTCAGGATAACAGGTATAAGACTTGGACTGTCCAAGGCAATTGGGACATATGGCCACCCCCCTCACCCACCACATACGAGATGCCTTCCCTTCTCCCGGCTGCATCAAAGCTGTTCTCAAGTCCAAAACCTTGCGTGCCTTCTTCTAAATGTCTAAGACTTTATTTGGCATTTGAAAATAGTTTACCTTTTATGGTTAATTGAAGTTTATCCCTTTAAAAGTAAAATACAATCAGCAGAGAAAACTTGGGAAATACAGGAAAGTATGAGAGGGAGGGAAGGAGGCAGAGAAGGGGAGAGAGTGAGACAGAGAGAGAGAAAAAAAAAAGAAAGAAAAAAACCCAAAACACAGCTCACAGTCTCATATCTAAAGATAACCAAGGCTAATGTTTTGGTGTTAATTATATTTTAAAAGTTTGCAGAAAGAAAAAAAAAATCTGAAGCAAATATGCCAAATGTTAGTAGTGGTTAATGTGGGGTGGTGTGAGTGTGATTACTGTTTTCTTCTTTGCACTTTCCATATTTTTCAAATAAACTAAAAAACAAAAAAAAAAAAACCAAAAAAACCCTTGTTTTTTCCTTGACTACAAAAATAACACCTGATCAGTGTCAAACACTTAGAAAACATGGAAGACGCAAAGAACACACAGACACAGAAGAATAAACAGTAACACCCTGAATCTGTGTACACACATGTACATGGGTATATATGCACATTTACATAACTTTTAAAGAACAAAAGAAACATATCATGAAGACTTTCCTATGCCAGGATGCGGTTGCCATCAGGCTGATTTATAAGGGCTACCTAGTATTTCATTCACCATCTTATTTTTGTGCCCCTCATCACTTACTGGTGGTCATTTCAACTGTTTCAATTTTTTCCTCTATTACATATTAAAAAAAAAACTCTTTTAATAGCGAAATCTTTGCGTACATCAAAGATTAGTCACATAGGATAAATTCTTAGCGTCAGAATCCCTGGGTCAAAGGATACAGACAAGTCCAACACTTTGATACATTTGTCAAATTACCCTAGAGGCAGATTGAGACAGTTAGCATTTTTTAAAAGACTGAAATGGTTTCCATCTTACCACTAGCCCTTTGGCCTTTTTATCAGGACTTTTTTCTGGCATAGTGTTTGCCTTTCCCTCTTGTGTACGTGTGTTTAATGTACAGAAGCTTCTGATCAGTCCTAAGTCAAATCTACCAGATCTTTTCCCTTTACCATGTCTTCTTTTGGTATCTCATTGAGAAAGAACCGCCCTCTCCATCCCGACATATAAAAATTCACCTGAATTTATTTTACTGGTTTCCTTTTATTAATCAGAGTTTGCTTTCATCCGAATTCTACGTGGGCATAGTTTAATAAGACAACAAGGTCTGTTAAGTGAGACATTAGGTTCTGCCCTCCCTCCCCCGCCCTTGTCTCACTTGCCCAAGACCGTCGCTTTTGACTCCACAAACGGCATCTACCTTTGCAGCTCTAAGTAAAAATGCTTCTGTTGCTAGCTCTTGTTAGGTTTTAGGCACTAGCTCCTTTTTGTTTTGGAAGGGGAAGATTTAAGAAACCAAGCAACCTTTTCCAG